AACACAACAACACATTTTACATTCGAATCGGGATGACTCTTTGATCACAGCACACACTGAATGTTGATCATTCTCAGAGCAAAGAGTTGCTTTTCTTTTCTATAAACTTTGATTCACTGACTTTCATCAGCAAAACAGGCACACCTGACGGAGGATAGAAAAACACAAAAATAAGTTCAGTTCCACAGATTTATACAGCAACTACAGTCAGTACACACACATAATAGGATTTTGTTTCTGTTTGTTAGCAAAATATATGGACAGCTTTTATTAAAACCGTCAGAAAGTAAATACTGAAGTGATAATAACAAACCAATAATTTCTGTAGTTTACCAGGGGCTTAAGAGGTAAAAGATGGCTGCCACAGCTAATTTACCTTAGCCTATACAAAAATAGCTTAAACTCAGAGAAATTTAGGGATATTAAGCTAAAATTTGTTTGGGTATTACCATCAACATCATCACCTTTATTATACCTTATCGTGGAATGAAAAGGGGGAGTTGAAATACCCTCCATCCATCCTTGAATATTGTGAGCGCAGAAACTTAAACGATAAGTAAGGCATGAATTTCAGATTTGGTGTGTAGCTGCATCTAGGTGCTAGTCAGTCTCCTATCAAATTGGGGATGCCACATCAAAATTCAAGATGGCAAACATCATAGTGTTTCTCCTACCATTGTCCAAGGAGGGCGTCGCATCCTGTCAACAGAACTGAGCTCCCTCCGAATGCAATGTCCTTCACCCACAACACCCCTATCCCCTGGCCGACAACTTCCACCACTGATGTAGTGCTAAGTTAGTGGTGTGCAATACAGACACACTAGCTAAAAAGCTACAGACGCAGACTTAGAACAGTGCTGTGTAACCATACTTCTTGATACCTGCAGAGCTTTGATCGAAGATAATATTTCTGGTTTGTTTTTAAAGTATCTGAACAACGAGTCAGCTGCTTCAACGAAAGCCTCTTTTACCATCTCTCCATCTTGGAACGACTTCTTGTGCTTATCAATTAAGCGACTCACCCAGAATGATGCTTCGATAGCTGCCTTTGCTTTTGTGGTCAGCTATAAGAAAAGTGACTGCTGTCCAGATAACTGGGATTTTAGTTCCTTCACCTTTTACTTATTCAGCTCACTTTTTGGAAGGAAGTCAGTGTCGTAGTTTTTACGAACAGTCCAAAAATATCGCTCCACATTTCCCTTCTTTGGAATAGCAATGGTAGACTGGCAGATGAGGCAAACGCACTTCGAACATGACATTGTGAAAAAAAATGTCCTCCTCCCATTCTGTATGGAAATGGTAGATTTTTTTTGCTTCTTACTTGGTCCAGCTCCCCCACTCATTTTATACCCTTTCTTGAGTTTAGAAGAAATAAATTGAAGGCTAACTAGGCAACTCGGTAGCTTGCTAGTTTTTGGCGTGATTGTATGCACATACGTGGTGACCCATGTGTCAGAAAAGGTCTGCCCTCAGATTGGCTGCCCTGTAGGTCAATCAAGTGACAAATATCATGGTATGGATGGATGATAGGCTGACATCTATTATTTTAATGCCATGCAATCTACCCATACTTTTGCGATCGACCGGTAGATTGTAATAGACGTATTGGGCACCCCTGAAAGAACGTAGCACCCCTTCCGGTCGACAGCTACCAGCACTAACGTAGCATGGACAAGAAAAAAAGCGTCCTCATTTGTACACAGTGTAACTCCTACCTACTTGAACATCTTGCACCAAAAACATTAAGGCTTACTTGCATTCCCTGTTCAATTCCAGACCGGGAAAACACTCATCTCGAAAACTACTAACATTCACTTTTCAAATCCTTCGGCGAAGGGGGACATCGGTAGTAATGCTTGTTAACCAGATAAAATCCCATTGAGATCAAGATCTCTTTTCCATGGGTGTCCTGGCCAAGAAGTCATCAGCATGAACCATAAAACAATGATCAAAACAAGTAACAATGTTGAATTGAGCACAAATACTGTATTTTAGCTACATTAATAGTTTTTGAGTATTAAGTGCATGGGCATATACAGTGAAGACAATGATCAAAAAACACAAGCAATAGTTAAAAACACAGACAACGGTTAAAAACAGCTAAGACTCCAAATGCTAACAGATCACATGAAATATTGCACAAGATTGTGCGTAATGTTATTTTTCAAGGTTTGACCAAAACAACTTCATCATTTCTCAACATCTTAGTCCAAATCTCTGGCGGGTGATATGCATTCCTTCAGAGAGCGCTAGGCTTTTAGTTTTCTCCGAGGTGCCCTCATAGTTTGGTATCATGAGGCTGCAGCTTGGCATTAAGTGAATCACCTGGAGCCCACAGTGATGACAAGTCATTTAAGAATAAAGGTCTGACATAAAGCTAATCCTTGGAGCGTAAAGTACAGGATCTCCGGCCAAACACACTTACAATACACACCCTACACACTCACTAGAACATTCCCACATAAGCAGCAGTATAATTAATTTATGATCCAGCTCTGTGATTTATTTTTGTCCCTATCTGCCCTTTCGTGCTCCTTGAATATGAAACGTCCTGGAGGATTTGTGGTGCCGGGCTGGGCCTAAGGCAGAATCTCAGCATTATTCCTGCTGGACTGTGTATCATCATAACCCTTCATTTCTTCTAAAAACGATCTCCTCGGCCCACCATCTCTCTGCTCCTCGTTTGTGCTCCGTCTCTTTCTGCTCGTCCCTTTGGAGCTCCTGAAAATAGCAGCCAGGGGAGAAGTGGGTCAGCTGCCATGCAATGGTGTATGTAGTGAATTCCTCTGAGGTCGGAACCGAACAATTTGTAAAAAACTGTTGTACCTTTAACATTTTCAAGGGAAGCTTTTCAAGAAAATTTGCAGTGTTATCCGCTGATTCAGATTTACCTGATTAGTTTACCCTAATATTTTTTCAGTCAACTGTTTAGATAATAGCACTTATAGCAAATCTCAGTTTTTGAATCTACAATTTCATTGTTGCTTTGCTGCCTGTATTTTTTGACTCGTAGTAAAAAGGTAAAACGTTTGCTTTAGGTGGACCTTGGACTTTACATGAAATCATAACAATATAATCAGCAAGTACATTTAATAAATACTTCCAAGCATTTCTCAATGTTTATTAATGCCTAGTAAAAACTAATGATTCAGTTGGCCTGATGTAAATATTAGCATGGAAATCATAAATCCTTAACCCTAAAGTTTGTAGTCCTGCTGTTCTCTTTTTCTATTTTAAAGCATAAAATGAATGAAATGAATGAAACATCACCCTTGCTCTTAAAAACGAGCACCAGCACACTTCTTGTCCATTCCTCAGGCATTTTCTCACCTTCAAATATGCCATTAAATATTGGAGTCAAAAACCTCACTGCCATCTCTCTGATATTTCCAAACCTCCACTGGTATGTCATCAGGTCCTACCATCTTCCCTTTCTTCATTCATTTCAGAGCTTTCTGAACTTCACCCAGGCCAATTTAACAGATACTGAGCTAAATCATGGTGTTGTAACTGGGAGCCATTCACAATACAACCTCTTAAATGCTACTCATTGGGATAAATATTTACCTAAATCACCAGCATTAACTGTTGGAGATGTTTGTCTGTTAGTAAAACATCTCATCAATCACTAGACATATTTTCTTGAAAATAATCATTGACTGTACATACAACTGTTTAGCTTTGGATTTAACTCAATTTAAGATGGCTGCCACAGCTAATTGACCTTAGCAAGCACAAAAATGGTTATAACTCAGTCAGCTTAACAGATGTTGAGCTCAAATTTGGTGTGGTAGTAGCTGAGAGTCGTTCACAACACATGCTGTACTTTGAGAATGACATCTTGCGCCTGACGCAGTTTTCAAGGTTTGACCAACTTTTTCAACATAAGATCTTAGTCTAAAACTTTGTCATGAAATGCTTTGGGCAATATGCATCTCTTCAAGGAACACTTAAATATGTACTATCAAAATAGTTATTTAAAAATTATTTTCTTTTTTTTTTTCAACATATAGGCCAACAGTAATCTTAGTATACCACCAGTCTTGATACTTGCTGAATCGCCTCCCTGTTGCTGTTTTTATTGGTTCTTTTTGTCCTGTTAGTTGTGCTCTGTGTGCGAACCCGCCACATGTGACTCAGCAGTCGATCTAATTATCTGTTATGTGTTTAACTAATAAAGTTTGGCCAGCTGGGTCCCATCTAAACAGCAGGAGGAGCAGGAGAGTGCTGAAACGGCTTCGATATAAAACAGTTAGCACTGGGAGTATCTGGGGGAACGTGAGAGGATAAAAGTGGACAAACATTCACAGACGGATGTTTTATTGTGAAAACAGTCATCATGGAAGTTAGAGAAACTGAAATGAGATGTAAAAAAAAAAAAAACAGTTTTATCTGATCATGAATCATAAATGAGCCAACAATAAATTTATTTGTGTTTGCCAGAATTTTAGACTAAGATCATCTTATCATGGGAAGGGATGGATCTTTGTGCACACTCTCATGCAATATTGTGAGATCCTGTGAGATGTGAAGAGCTCCAATATGTGTTAGGGGTACTTTTTTAAATGTCCCAGATCTTAGTGGAGACCTTTTAGATTCTGCTTCACTTGGACTCATTACTCAATTTTAAAAGAATAAACTTTCATACGTATTAAAAAAAACTTCATGTTGCAGCTTTTAGAATAGGAACATCAGTGGGGTTTCTGTCAGGCAGCGGTACCCACAGCTAATTTGTCAAAGTGTGGCATCTGAGTGGCTTCAGGAGCCCTGAGCAGCGGCAGCTAAGTGGTCTACTGATGGGTAATTCATCATCAGGACTGCTGGACTTCAGATCGTCCCAGCAGAAGATGAATGTGTATCATTTTTAGAAATCTTAAAGGGCCCTTTTTGGTAACAGACAGCTAAAAACAGCCTTTTCCTCCTTTCATTTGAATGTTTGTAACATGTGTTATCAATTAGGCAGGTTGCTAAAAGCTGTTGCTCGTTTTTTGTCTTCGTAGGATTCAAGTGTCCTGTCTGCTCCAAATCTGTGGCGTCCAATGAGATGGAGGTTCACTTCATCATGTGTTTAAGCAGGCCACGCCTCTCCTACAATGGTAAGAAACACCTTTGACTGTTCGTGCTGTTTTACTCCATTATCTCGACACTTAGAGCAAAAAGCCACACTGGCTTTCTAACGACACCATGTTAGGGCCATTGCAGATTAAAATAACTATTAAAAAAAAGGCATAATTTGAAGACAAACCTCTGAAATTCCAACTATAATGTCATATTTTTATGTGCAGAAAATGGATCTTATGTTTAAATAGTTTAAATTTGCAAGAAAAAAAGTCAACATTTCCACAATAAATGCACAAGAATAAAACTAGGACAGTCTCCGAAATTGTAAAGTTATACATTTTCTGGGAAACAATAGATAAAACATCTAGCATTAAAGAATAAAGACAAAAGTTTTATGAAATTAAAGGCAACAAAAACAAACTAAACAAACGGAGTCATGCAAATGTGTAAAAGTCTAATATTAGATAAAGTAGCATCCTTCACGTTGGTGAGTTGGTCGAGAGTTTTAGATTTACTTTATAAACTTGAAAAATGATTTAAAAAAAATCCTTTATTTGGCTAACTGTTAGCCTAGCTTGGATAAACACTTTTGCCTCCCCATTCTCTGTGCTCCATGACTGCTGTCCTCCCTGAGAAGGTTCTAACTCTTGTTAACTGTTTCATTTACAAAATGACCAGAATATCACTTTAATCAAACAAATCATTCACTTTTTTTTTTTTTTTTTTTTTTTTAACAAATTCATAGAGAAAGAGGGATTAGGACTAAGGTAAAAAATAAAATGAAATCTGAAATTAAAGTCAGAATTTTTTTAAATAATATAAAAATAAAAATGTGGCTCTAATTGTCTTCTGTAAATTTCTCAATTTACAACCTCCATAAACATCTGAGTGTTTTCTGTTCAATTCAATCCTATCTTTTTTCTTGCAAATGTATAACTTGTGCATATTGTTCATATACATATATGCACACACACACACACACACATATACATATATATATATATATATATATATATATATATATATATATATAACAGGTTTTAACTTGGGGAGTGGTGGTGCAGAGGTTAGAGAAGCCTGTGATAGGAAGGTCGTGGGTTTGAGCCCCTGGACCAACAACATTAAAATGTGGATGGGAACAGTAAAGCACTCACACCTTTCTCCACCCTCATTTGCCTCACTTGCCCTTGAGCAAAGCCTTAACCCCCACCATCTATTCCCCATGGTACCCTAGATTGCAGCTCTCTGCTCCACACAGAGGGCTGTGGTAGCTCGGTGGTCTGTGGTTGAGTCATGAAGGGCATCCAGCGTAAAAACAATGGTCAAATCTTTATGTGATTAGTTCGCTGTGGTGGCCTCTGAAGAATGGAGCAGCTACAAACAAACAAAAAAAACAACAACATGTTTTTAACTTAACAATTGGCCTTTATTTTGGATTTTCTTAAGTTTTTTTTTTTTGGTCTTGTCCACTTTGTTCTTTTTTCATTTTTATTTACAATGGCTCTAATTTGCTGTTGTACTTTCATTTAGGTGCAGTTTTTATTTTTAAATATATGTTTATTGGTCTTTTACCTTTGGTGTACCAAGTCACCTGCTGCTGTTTCTGATAAATATTCATCAGGCGGTGCGTGATTCTGCAGACTGGCGTGTTCCTGAGCCGGTCCTTTCCCAACATCATAAAAATGAATGAGAGGAAACAAAGAAAATGATCCATTATACATTTATAGGGTTGCTGTACACAACAACATGTTGAATTATCTTTTTTGTTTTAAACCCAAACATGGCTCACGCTTCATGACGATTCCCCTCAACAAACTGGAAGATTTAAAGGCTTGTGTTTCACAAGATGTTTTTACATTTGACCCTCATGTGTCTGTTAGATGTGGAGGACAACTTGTAACTTTAGAAAAACTGTCCTTTTCAGAACCAGTTATGTAAAGATTTTTTCGTCTGCACTCGTTTGGTGCACAATCATTATTTTCATGCACATTTCTGTGCCAGTCCTGAGCTAAAACGATGAAATAAAAAAGATCTGTGCAGAATAATTAGGAAACTTGATCAGTGACAAATGTAAATGACTGAGGGCCTTTATGGACAGCAGCTTAAGGTCAAAAGATGAGAGCAATATTTGTAAATTACTTGTTAGGGTGGGTTTTTTTTTTTTTTTTGGAGAAGAAAAAACTAATTTTTGGATAAACTGGTGTAAAATATTTATAGAAAAATCCATTCAAAAAGTAATATTTTAATTTCTGTTGGCAGAAAACAGAATTTACTAAATGTTTGATTTAGCCAAATAAAAGTGACAACATTTGCATCTCTCTTACATGTCATATTTGAGCCCAGGTAATTTTTACAAATTAATCTGATTATTAAGATTCTGTTTGACGTTTCTCCCAGATTAATCAAAGACTCTAAGATGAGTCTGTAAATAGTTTTGTAGTATATTTTTTTGCAGGCTGTTTCTTCTCAGTAACCCTGAAAGTTGAAGCTCAGCCAGTAAAGACGACTCTAAATATGTTATAAAAGCTTTTGAATTAATAAAATCATACAAATAGGATCCTAAAAGTGTTTATGCATTATGAAATGATTTGATTTTTATTTTAACGCTTCCACCACATATGATTCAAAAGGAGTATTTTTCAAAATGGCGCGTGCTTCGGTTTCTTTAAAGGCAGTTCAAAACGAATGTAGCATTTCTAAATGTCAATTTACAATTAAAAACATATTTACTATAAAACAAAAAAAATCAAACTAAACGAAACAAAATTATAGATTCAATATAAGGGTTTTAAAGTAAAAAAAATCGTTTCGTAGTCTACTTCAAATGGTTTAATTGATTGAATGCAGCCATAAAGAATGGAAAATGAATAATTAAAAAAAACAGAATTGAAGGAAAGTATAAGAAAAAAAAAGAAAGAAAGAAAACTAAACAAATTGTCAAAATTAGTTTAGTTCTGAACATTTAAAGAGAAAACATGGAGAGCAGCAGCCCTTTAGAAATATAATGTTATAAATCTATAAAATAAAATCTATCAAATGAGGAAACACAACAGGACAGACTATGGAAACACTGGTTCTGACACGTACTGGGTTGGATTTTAGTTATTTTAAAGATGCTAAAATATCCTCTTAAACGCTCCTAAAGGTGAGTCATCCTCATGACTCACTGCTTCATTTATGAAAATGAGAATCTTGGCTCTGCACATGATGGAAGTGTGATTGTGATGCACCTCAACACCTCAGCTGAGTCAAGTTTTATGGGTAGGGTCTAAATGCATGCACATATTTAGAGCCCTATGAAGCTGTGCATAATTATCGTCTCAGAAAAATACACAATTATTAGCAATTTCAGTTTAAAATATTCCACAAGACCTTAACATTTCCTTTGCTACAAATCTTTGTTTCAAAAGTCTGTTTAGCATGAACCAAACCTCACTGTTTTATCGATATTTCATTTGTCTGTACTGTTAGCAAAATATCTCATTATGTATGGATTTTAATGAACCTTTCAGGAAGTAATAATCTGGATGACATCTACAGCTGATTAACTTTGGATTCAACCTAAATCAAGATGGCCACCGCAGCTAAGTGACCTTGAAAAAAGACTTTCGCTCAGTCAGTTTTACAGACAAACCAAAAATTGCTGAGAAAGAAGCTGAATCTGATCCCCAACTCAGAACCTGAGCAATAATTGATCACGTAGTGTTTACAACGCCACCATTAACTACTCAGTTCAGCTGTGTCTGTTAGCAAAATATCCAAGAAATCACACGATGGTTTCTAATAAAACTTGCAGGATGCACCTGATGCAAGGGATTAACTTGTGCAGTCATCGCGATTCAAGATGACTGTCACAGCAAACTGACCCCAGGAAACACACAAATGGCTGCAACTCAATTAGACTGACTGATTTTGAGTTAAACTTTGCGTGGTAGTAGCTGAGAGTCACTAAAAACACATACTCTCTGAGCACACTAATGCACATTTTTAAAAAGTTTGACCATGAAAGGACGATATGGCTTCGTCAGTAAATGCTAACTGATTTCAGCGAGCAGGTGTCTGTTTTAATGATGCGCTGCCTCTGCTGGATGCTTGGAGACTCCCGCGTGTCACAGCAGCTCTTTGACGGACACTCGCCTGACTCCAGTCTGTGCGCGTGACACGTCTGACCTTGTAGAAGCCTCTGCGTCGATAATGGCGAATAGCAAAATCGATAAAAACGATAGCGAAATCATGTGAAATCACTTGAGGCTCGGAGGGCAGAGATGTAACGCTGCTGCTCCACAGATGGCCGGGAGTGTGGTCCTCAAGCCCTGAAATCAAATCTAATGTAGGTCTGAAGCTGGCAGACAAACTCCAGCTGAACACTGACGGAGGCAGAGAGAGGACAGTGAAACTGTCTTAAAGAAGATGGGATCTTGAGTGATGGGGTGTCCTGATGGTTGATAACAGACGAGAGAGGAGAGGGTGAAAGAAGAAACACTCCCATAATTCCTCTTTTTTTTCCCCTGCAGCTACTTTCTGTCCTGTCACTCTTTATTTTCAGCAAATAATGCAACACGATCCTCCCTGTGTCCGCCTCTGATTTCTTTCTCCTCTCTTTGACCCTTCTTCTCTGGTCTCTTTGGTTTTTGAGTCATGAAATGGACCAGGCTTATCTGGTTACCCAGCATGCTCAGGGGTAAAATCAACACATCTTAAAAACCATGTTTAGTCAGAGTGCCATCTTGTCTACTTATAGAAAGTGTATATAGAATATTAATTAAATGTTTTTGTTTCTTCTGGTTTCAATGTTAAACGTTGAGCTCGCTGAAAATGACATACTTTTTACATTATTTTTGTTCAGGCTAACCTATCATGAATTTCCTTTTGTTATCTGTTCATTTGATTTTAAAATTTAAAACCTTTCTTAAATTACTATCCAATGAGGTTTAGGGTCAGCGCTCTGTGTCAGGTGTAAGGTTAGGTTTAGGAAAAGGGTTATATAAATCTCACAAAAACACTTCCTGTTTGACCCACGTGCGACACTGCACAT